TAATGTTGTCCCAAAGATGTCTACTTCCTAATCCCTGAAACCTGTGAATATGTTACTTCACTTGGCAAAAAAAAATTTTGCTGATGTGATTTTAAATTAAGGATCTTGAGATAGGGTGGCTACCCTGGATTATCTGGGTAGTTCAATGTAACCATAAGAGTTGTTAAAAGGGGCAGACAAAAGGGTCAGAGTTAGAGGAGATGTGATCACAGAAGCTAAGGAGACAGAGAGAGGGAGAGGGAGAAGGGGAGAGAGGAAGGGAGTTGTGAAAGATCCAGCTAGGCCCTGAAGATGGAGGAAGGGGCCATGAACTGAAGAAAGCAGGCAGTCTCTAAAAGTCAGAGAAGAAAATAAATTCTCCCTGGGACTTCCCTGGTGGTTCAGGGCTAGGATTTCATATCTCCACTGTATGAGGCATGGGTTCAGCCCTAGTAGGGGAACTAAGATCCCTCATCATGCCCAAAACAAAACACCCCACAATTCTCCTCGAGAGCCTCCAGAAGATATTGACTCAGCAACACCTTGAGTTTAGGATTTCTGACTTTCAGAACTATAAGATAAATAAACTTGTGTTGTAAGCCATGAAGTTTGTGGGAATTTCTTACAGCAGCAATAGGAAACTGAAACATTAATTTTGCTAAGTTTTAATACTTGAGATGGTGACTGCAGCCACGAAATAAAAAGACGCTTACTTCTTGGAAGAAAAGTTATGACCAACCTAGACAGTATATTAAAAAGCAGAGACATTACTTTGCCAACAAAGCTCCGTCTAGTCAAGGCTATGGTTTTTCCAGTAGTCATGTATGGACGTGAGAGTTGGACTATAAAGAAAGCTGAGCACCGAAGAATTGGTGATTTTGAACTTGGGTGTTGGAGAAGACTCTTGAGAGTCCCTTGGACTGCAAGGAGAGCCAACCAGTCCATCCTAAAGGAAATCAGTCCTGAATATTCATTGGCAGGACTGATGCTGAAGCTGAAACTCCAATACTTTGGCCACCTGATGTGAAGAGCTGACTCATTGGAAAAGACCCTGATGCTGGGAAAGATTGAAGGCAGGAGAAGGGGACGACAGAGGATGAGATGGTTGGATGGCATCACCGACTCAATGGACATGAGTTTGGGTAAACTCCAGGAGTTGGTGATGGACAGGGAGGGCTGGCGTGCTGCAGTCCATGGGATTGCAATGAGTTGGACACAACTGAGCGACTGAACTGAACTGAATGCTTGAGTAATGTTTGAAAAATATTTTATGCAAAGAAAAGCAGTCTTTTCTGGTCCATAAGGTGGCTATCTGTAGGAAGAGCTCACAAGAGATTGAGTTATAAGTTTATTCAGCTGTTTTAAAAAAAAGGAACAGTATTTTTAGGTCAGAATGAATGACAGGTCAATAATGGTTATTCATTATTGGAATAACCAATGGAAACATAGCAGACATTTTATCAAAAAATGAACAGATGAGCCTAACACTTAAAGAAAACAACTGACAATGACAAAATTTGACCTTTCACACAAAAATTAGCATTTTAGAAAAACTGTATTCATCACTGTGAATTTGACAGTTTCTCAGTATTTAAAGACTTCTTCTGATGTCTGTGAAAATAATATGATCTTTATATATTGTATAATGAAGTGTGTCAATATTTAAGAGACCTGTATAACTCAGTGAATCAATGTGTTTCTAAATTACCAATCCATCATGTTACAAAATTACGCATGGAAAAAAGACCTTCCTGAAGTGTAAGATAAACCAATGGATTTTTACTGTAACAGAGTACAAAAAGTTCATTGATACAGTTTCAAATTCTACATTTCTTTTTTTTTTTTTAATTCTACATTTCAATTAAGAAACTATACCTGTCAAGTTTGGGTGTGCTATTAAAGGAAATATTACATTAAGCTACTAATATAGTCTTCTCCTTTCCCCCAATTACATGTCTGTATGAGCTTTGATTTTTTTTTTTTTTACATATTTCAACCAACAGCAACCAGTATGGTAACAATTGAATGAAGTAGTATATGTAACTATCCTGCTGTCTTCTACCAATCAGGCATTAAGGAAGTTAAAGACACTTGCCAAAAAGAAATACATTGTGACTCTACTCACTAGTTATTTTTTGTTTTGGGGAAATATGGCCATTTTTCATACAAATATGTTATTTATGCTAATATAAAAAGGATTTATTATTATTTTTCAATGAGTTAATACATAGTTTAAAATTTTCTATTTTAATTTTTAATATGGTAACTATCAATAGATATAACACACAAAGGAAAACTCTTTAGAGTCTTCAATCAATTTCAAAGTTTAAAGGAGTCCTGTGATCAAAACGTTTTAAGACAGCTGCTCTATGGAGAAGGAAATGGCAACCCACTCCAGTATTCTTGCCTGGAAAATCCCATGGACTGAGGATCCTGGTAGGCTACAGTCCATGGGGTCATCAAACACGACTGAGCAATTTCACTTCAATGGCAGATCATGTGTCTTGTTACTTTAGGGCTATTTTAAGGATAGATTTTAAAATTAGGGATCGGGATGGGGAATACATGTAAATCCATGGCTAATTCATGTTAATGTATGACAAAAACCACTACAATATTGTAAAGTAATTAGCCTCCAACTAATAAAAATAAATGAAAAAAAAAATAAAATAGATAGCAGCAGTTATTTTTGTTAGTCTTACTAATAGATATAGAAAAATACTACTGCATTGCTTTTAGGGGATCAAACCAAGACAGCATCATTCTGTGTGACATAACCAAGGGACTAAACAGTTTTAAATAACAACAACAACAAAAAAAAGACTGCTGCTCTAGCATTTTCAACTTCACCTCTGGATTTTAATTTAGATTTTAAAGTTTTATTAAAAAAATTTTTTTTTCAAATTTTTTTTTTTTTGGAAGCTTTTTATGACAATCCTCATTGTATGTGAAAATCCTATGCACTCCCTTAAAAATACACTATACTTCACTTATTAGCATTGTATTTTTTTCTTTATATAATAGTTTGAGAGATATAATTAACATATCATACAGCTCACCTATAGTTTTTCAGTATATTTACAAGCTATACAATCATCACTCAATTTTAAAGCACTTTGATCACCCTCTGCAAAGAAACTTTGCCCTTTAATAGTCACTCTTCATTTCCCCTCAATTCTCCAGCCCTAGTAAAATTCACTGAAGCAGTAGCCTACTAATCTATTTTCTGTATCTATAGACTTACCTATTCTGGATATTTCATTTAAACAGCATCATACTTTGCAACTGGCTTCTTTCACTTAGCATAATGTTTTCAAGTTTCATCCACCTTGTATGAGCACTTCATTCCTTCCCTTTTGTGCCTAATAACTTTTCTTTGTATTGCTATACCACTTTTGGTTACCTGTTAGTCAGCTGATGCACATTTGAGTTGTTTTTCTTTTGCTACTATGACTGCTGTGCACATTTGTGTACATATTTTTGTGTGAACATATGTCCTCAATTCCTTGGGTGTATATCTATTAGAATTACTGGGTCATGGTAATTTTATATGTAACAGTTTGAGGAAGGCAGGAATTTTTTCAAATGGAAGTGTTTTCCAAAGCATTTTATGCTCCCATTAAGTACAGTATAACAGTTCCAATTTCTTCAGAACTTATTTTTCTTTTTAATTATAGACATATATCCTAAAGGATCTGAAATGTTATCTCATTGTTTTTAATTTGCATTTCCAAGATAGCTAATGATGTTGAGCATCTTTTCATGTCCATTCGTATATCTTCTTTACAGAAATTTTTTTTTTTTACAGAAATTTCTATTCAGATAGTTTGTCCATTTTTAAATTGGATTGTCTTTTAATTGTTGAATTATAATAGTTCTTTATGTATTCTAAATATTAGACCTTTATGAGATATATTATTTGCAAATATTTTCTCCTATTCCTTAGATTGTCTTTTGATGAGGTCCATATTATTTATTCTTCTTTGGTTGCTTGTGCCTGATTCAAAGTCAAGAAGATTTATACCTATGTTTTCTCCAAAGTATTTTAAAGTTTAAGCTCTTATATTTAGGCCTTTGATTCATTTTAACTTTTCAAATGTTATGAGTTAGTAATCCAAATTCATTCTTTTACATATGGATATCCAGTTGTCCAAGTAACTTCTTTTTTATTCTGTTCATTTATTCTGGAATCTCAATTTAATTCCGCTTATTCATATCCTTATGCTCTATGCTTTTGCCAGTAGGGCCACTAGTTTTGTTTTTTAAAACGAACTCATGGAAAGACCATTCATTAACTCAAAATAACCAAGTCAAGGGTGGGAATCAGCTTCTTCGCACTACCAGTTTAGGAGCTAAAGATGCTCCTAAAGTTTCAGGAGCATCTTTTTCATCAGCAGCCATCAAAATCCCGCCCAATGCGATTATGTTTTTGTTTTGTTTGTTTTAAATTAAGGTCATTGTGTTTGGCCAGGGTTGGTTAGCCGAAAATGTTACCTCCAGGCTAAGAAACACTGGTATTCAGTCCAGTTTATTTAGGGAGATAGGTGAGCAAGGCCAAAAGTAGACAATAGAAGTACTTTGGCTCAGCCTTCAGAAACGCGCAAGGTGTCGGCGGGAGGAGGCTGGCTATCGGTACGGTTCCAAACAGACTGGGCACCGGGAACTTTTCCTCCAGGGATGGGCTCGGGCCCGAGGCACAAGGCCTATCTCGGTGCTGCGGTCATTAATTCATCTGTGCGACCACAACTAAAGCTCGTTCTCACTCCTCCAGCCTCCCGGGAGCAACTCCGCCGCCCCCCGCCGCGCCCCGCCGCCCCCGACTAGTTTTCCCGCGTCGCCTTTCCTCTTTTCAGTCTCCGTCCTCACTGCGCGTAGCGGAAGTGACGCAAGGGGTAGCGGAAGTCCCTCCAGCCGCGGTGTTGTGCTGTCGGGTAGAGAGAAGGATTTGTAAACCCCGGAGCGAGGTTCTACCTACCCGAGGCCGCTGGTGTGCGGAGACCCCGGGGGAAGCCACCGTCACCATGTCTGACCAGGTACCGGGCTGGGAGCCATCCAATGGCGGTGGCCGAGGCCTTACTCTGCAGGTCTGCCTGCTGCTTGGCTGGGGCCGGGGATGGAGGCGCGGGGGAGGGGAGCGCGGACTGGGGGAGGGGGCGGCCAGTGGGGACTGGGCTGGAGAGGGAGGGGTGTAGACTAGGGCAGGAGACGCCCGGGCCTGCCGCGGGCTTCTGGGAGCCACCCTACCCCTCTCCGGGCTGGCTCATCACCCCCTGTGCCCCAGCGCCTCTGGTCGCGGCCTCCCTCCAGTCGTCCCCGTTCTTTTCTCTGGGGCGGACCAGGTGCAGAGCCCAGCTTCCACTTTCCCAAGAGGGTCCCTGAGGATCCCGCCCGCCTGCCTCTCCGGAGGACTCACTGCAGAAGCAGGGCCCTAGGCCCCAGTTATGTAACGGGAGAGGATCCCTGCCCCGGAGGCTCTGTGGCCCTGAAAAGCGGGTGGACTCCACTCCTTGGTTCTTGGTCTTTAGATAGTCGCGGAGTGGGACGCGGGGGCGGAGGGAGGGAGACGTCTCGTGTTGCTGAGAACCTCGAAAGCTCCGCTTTCCATTCGGATTGCAGCTAGGCCGCCGCTGCTTTGCTCTGAGCCTTTCTCCGTGTGGGGGTGCAGAGCTGTCGCCTCTTTCCTTTTACTTTCCCATTTCTCACTCGGGATTGGTTCAGTAGCTCTCCAGTTGGAAGAGAGCACTCAGAATAACCAAGAAACAAAGTAGAACGAAACTGCTAGAGCTACAGGAAGCGTTTCATCTGTGAGTTAACCTGAAGATGACTGATAACCTTTCAGGAAAAGGATAGGAAAACTTCGTGTGCGTGAAGCAGTTGCAGAACGTTTGCAGAAAGCTTCGTGTTATAGCAGAGTGCTCCATCTCAGTGTTAATAGCAGGAATTTACTTGGGATTTGCATTCAATCAGGAGTGTTCGATTTTCCGTGGTGAGTTTTTCTTCCTCATTCATTTCTAGTTAACCTTGTTTATGGCTGATGGGCTTCGCTAGTGGCTCAGCGGTAAAGAATCAGCCTGCCAGTGCAGGAGAGGCGGGTTCGAGTCCTGGGTCGGGAAGATCCCCTGAAGGAGGAAATGGCAACCCACTGCAGTATTCTTGCCAGAGAAATCCCATGGACGAGGAGCCTGGAGGGCTGCAGTCCATGGGGTTGTAAAGTCCTACACGACTAAGCGACTAAACAACAACAAAATGTTTATGGCTAGTTGTTACTTTATAGGGTTTTTGTCTGGCCTTCGTTTTGTTTGCTTAGATGACTTGGACTTTTTAAAGTATTTTTGAACCTTTTGCTTGTTTAGTGATAGTTATCTAGAAAACTGTTTCTCATTCAACTCCGCAGTGTACTTGAACTTTTAAATTTAACACACTATTCCCTTGGCTTTTAACCCAGTTCAGTTTTGTGCCGCTTGGTGAGAGCAAGTGAGGCTTTTGTGGGTTTGTACTGTTGCACAAAACATACATTTATAAGGTTAAACCATAATCTAGATGAGTTTTGAGTGAATCTTCTTACTAACAGTCTAGATAACTCCCAAGTAGTTACGGGAATGGAGTTACAGCCATCTCCCTAGGTAGTTGTTTACTTGATTTCCAGGGAGGAAAGAAAGGTGTAAATGCTTTATTTCATCAGCCTTTTATTTTGATGCTTAGAAGTGGCTAGGAAGTATGTTGAAATTTACTGTGTAGTCTGAGGAAAGAGCAGTGTACAGAAGGCAATATAAAGTAAATTGTAGAATTTATTGTTCCAGTTTAAATTCCAGCTATTTAAGAGACACTTGAATAAAGGACCTAGGACACTAACAGGTGGCCAAAATTATTTTCACAATAATCCTGGGACTTTGTCTTTTTCACTCTCATTCTTTCATGAGTGTTTGGTGGGGTTTTCTAAAGATTGACATGACCTGGGATATCACAACAGATTGAAACATAGAGGCAGATGTGGAAATCCAGCTGCTTTCCTATTAAGCCAGACATTGAAGAGATTTGCAAAAAATGCAAAACAGTGCCACTTTTCTTACTAATTTTGTTTTTAAAAAGTGTTTTTTTGAGATTGATACTTTATTGCTACTTTCAAGAAATTGTATTTTATATACACAGTACCATTTAATGAGGGTATCATCATATCCTTACAGGTGTTTCATATTGTTACTATCAAAATACTTTTCATAAGTAGCAGTGGATTTATTATCCTAAAATGAATTATATGTTTATAAAACATATTTCAGATAAACCTCAGTAGATACAACCAACCTAACAAAAGCTTTATGGAGTTCTAAATGATTTTTTAAGAGGAATCCTGAGACTGTGAAGTTTAGGAACTGTGGCTCTATGCTGATCAACCAGTATCATTATTAATAATCAGGAGCCAGTACAATTTTAGTGTTGTAGTGCTAAGGATTTAAAGAGATAAGAAGCTGCACTCTTACCCTGATGAGGCTTATGAGTGAGAATCCCAAGTTACTCCTGCGCCATACCAGCAATGTGAGACTGGACCACAGTCCCCAGAAGACAGTCTTAATATCAACCAAGTTGTTTAGAATGATGTATATTCTGAGGCACCTCAGAGGGTTTTTTGTCTGTGCTGAAGATACTAGAATTGAGCAATAATTTCAAGTTAAAATAGGTGGATGTTAGAGTCATGCAAGACTTGAATTGCTGGGTTCTGCATTTATGAATGGAAAATGATTATTTCTGGAATTTGAGTGAAGTAATTCTTCATAATTCTAACAGTGCTGGTCCATTGTCCAGTGGACCATTTTTGAATAATCCTCTAATACAGATTCCGAACCTGAGGATCATGAATCCTAAGGGCTGAAAATCCACTGAAATTTTATGGCAATCTGTGAAGGTTTTTTTGCATGTGTGTTTGTTTAGGGAGAAAGGATCCATAGCTTTCATTAGGGGTACATGATCCCTCAAAAAGGTTAAGGACTAGCCTTTAACCGATAATAGAGATCCGATGGTGTGCTTACTTTTAGCCTGATTTCACCTACCAGTGAAACTGAGCACATAATAATATAGACCCAGATGCCAATGTCCGGAGAAGGCAGTGGCACCCCACTCCAGTACTCTTGCCTGGAAAATCCCATGGACGGAGGAGCCTGGTAGGCTGCAGTCCATGGGGTCGCTCAGAGTCGGACACGACTGAGCGACTTCCCTTTCACTTCACTTTAATGCATTGGAGAAGGAAATGGCAGCCCACTCCAGTGTTCTTGCCTGGAGAATCCCAGGGACGGAGGAGCCTGGTGGGCCTCTGTCTATGGGGTCGCACAGAGTCGGACACGACTGAAGCGACTTAGCAGCAGCAGCAGCAGCAGCAGATGCCAATGTCAAACTGGTAAGGATAATTTGTACAAATATTTTTCCTTCTTTCTTCCCTGTATTCACATTTATAGTGTTTCTTTTCCATACTGGAATCATGAAAGACAGCATGGACTTCAGCTCTTCAGTTCAGGTCTGTTAATTTGTAATAATTGGATGACTGGTTTGGTTCAAATGCTAACTGAATCTATTGTAGCAGGTTTACTCTCTCCATCCCAACCTCAGAGAGAGGAGGGGTGGAGAGGGAGACAGATACTGATTGATTGAGCTCCTTTTATCTTTAGTCAAGGATTTGGAAGCCTTATGTAATTCCTGCTATCTGTTGGTACTTAACAAAGTACTTCAAAACTTAATGGCTTAAAACAATGGTCTTGTTTTGCTCATAAATCTCAATTTTGGCAGGGCTCTGTGGTTTGGGCTCATCACTGCTTCTTGATGCGTGGGGCCTCCGCTGGGATTACTCACGTGACTGTGGGCTGTAATGGATGGTTTCTTCATATAGTCTCAAGGCCTCTCTGAGTGGTCTTGTCATGTGTTCTCTTCAGCACAGGCACCTCAGGGCTCACAAGACAGTGTTCCAGAGAACCTTGGGTGGAAACCCCAAGCTTCCTAGAATCTAACTTTGGAAGTCACTTTTGCATTTTGTTTGTCAGGCAAATCACTAAGTTCAATCCAAATTCAAGGGAAAGGCATTTATTCATTTCAATGGAGATAATACTTGACATATTAGTTGCAGGTTATACAATGTAATGATTTGTGTATATTGTGAAATGATCCCTAGGATAGGTCTAGTTAACATCCATCAACACAAATTTTTCTTGTGTTAAGAACTACTCTCAGCAACCTTCAAATACACAATACAGTATTATTAACTATAGTCACCAAGGAAAAGACACCTAGATTCCATTTCTTAATGGGAAGAGTAACAAAGAATTTGCAGTTATCTTTAATCTACCACACTAGTTGTACTCCTTTTGTTAGGATAGCATTATTCCCTGCAGCATTATTTATATCTCCCTGTTTTTGGTGTTTGCTGATCTTCCTGTTAGCCTGAGATGGCAGAAGAATATGATAAACTAGGTATATATTGAAGTTCATAACTATGTATACTACTTACCTCGTAGAATAAATGTTACACTGATGCTCTGACTTGAGCATTTAGTTAATGATACATATCTTAAGTATTCCGTGCCCCAGGAGAGGAATGATATAGTCTGTCTTCTCTGACAGATAGATACATGAAGTGCTGCTAGTAGATGTTGCAAGCATATTGATTATAATAAAACATTTCAAATAAAATGTGAACATTATTTAATAGTATTTTTAAAACTGAGTATGATTATTACAGAGTACTTATGAGTGTTAGTGGAGTAGTTCAGATTTCAAAACTAAAGCAGTTGTCAAATATCTCTTGCTGCTCATTAGCCTCCCCCCATACCAATTAGAATAATATTATATGTTATAGCTTTTATATATAGTGTTACAATTATTTAAGTGCTTTTCTCCATTACACTGTTTGCTTTCCAGGGTCAGGAATCAGGCTTTACTCACCCTTTTTTCCTGAAGTGCCAGCAGTGACTGACTGAATACTTAGTAAAAGTTTTTAAAGAAATGAGTGGTAAGAGTCATTCATTTAACAAGTATTTATTGAATGTCAATATGTTCCAGGCACCATTCTAAGCCCCAGAACTGGAAGTTTGTCTCAAAAATG